TCCCACCGGCGTCCGGCACACCCCTGCCGTGCTGTTAACCCAGGCCGGTGGCAAAGCGGGGCCTCTGGGGCTCGCCCCCGGCAGGGAGAGGGGCGCGGCCCGCGGGGGCAGACGGCAGGGACAGGGCTGCAGCGAGCTCTTAGCACCCCAGGAGCTCGGCCCGGGCTTCACACGGAGGGATGGACTCTCACAGGTTTCGCAAACTCTGCGGAATTTGCCTCGTATAAATAAGTGGTTTAACTTGCATCAGATTTCAAGGGACAGGAAAAATAAACACCTTCACCCTTCTCTGCAACAAGTGTGACTGTCAGAAACAAGGAGGAGGCTGAGTATTTAATAATTACCGAACAGCTGGAACAAAACCAAAATTACCAAAACTATTACCAAAATAATTACCAAAAAAACCTGAAAATTAAATCAAGTTTTTATTAAAAGCATCTATTAAAATGACAGCACATCAGCTCTTCTGCTTTTAACTCATGCCAAACTACAACTCAAACCTTCCAAAGCACTGAACAATTTCTTGTATGTAATCACTTAATAAAACAAAAAGCAGTCTTCCACACTCCATCTTTACTTTTTTTACTTGGTATTTTACCCAAAACTTATCATGATCCAAAACTGCTTCAGCTGTCTGAATTTTGTCTATGGCAAAGTACAATCCAGTGTACTTGTCATATGTCAAAGACCTGAGCAAATATTCTGGCTGACTGAAAAAAAAAAAAATTAAAAACCTCAAACCCAACAACAACAAAAGAAAAACCCACGAAAAAACCAACAACCAATCCTGATGAAGTAAGATTCCAGTCTACAAGCGGTTGGTAATTACAGTCTTCTGCCCTGTGAAATACTACTCAGGAGTAATTCTTAGTTATGATTCAGAATTACAACAGATGTATGTTCAGGGCTCATTTTGGGATCAGATTATTCACATGAAGCCAGATGAACACTCAGCACGTAGTATTTTTTAGAAACCCAAAACCTACATAGATGAATGAATTACTAGTTTTATGTAGGCAAAGAAGGCTTGTATGACTAGAGTTTCCTATTTTTTTCAGAAGCTGAAGCAGAGATTAAACCGTATCACTGGTGCAAAATTATTTACATTCAATGAAAGAAACTTCTTTTAAATTATTCAATTACTTTTTAGTTAAGTGCATCAACATAGGATTTAACAAACTAGGTTAATGAGATTTTCAACCACAACGGGTTATCAGAGAACATACTTCAACAGCTGCAGTTTCTGATGTAAAACCACTCTACTTTTCTGGAATAGCTGTATGCATCTGGTCAGCCGATATCAAGTGATTGATAAAATATTTTCTTCCTTTTCAGTTCAAGTGAGAAGAGGTTTTTCTTCTCATCTGAATTTCCTGACTTCCAACAAGAGGAAGAACTTAAAGCAAGCAGGTCAGTAAATACACATTATTAATATCCCCTTAAGCAGTAGCTTAACAACAACAACCAACAACAAAATAACACACAAAAAGTTCAATCTGAAAACAAAGGTTTGTTAGCATATTAGGAATCTCTGTCTGCCTTCAAAGCAAAATATGATAAAAGATCACCATGAGACAATGCTACTGAAAGTGTACAACATTCACAAAGTGACAAGATACCCTGTTAAACATTTTATATCAGCATTTGAGTACTAGGCAGCATTCTGCAACTTCATTTATTTGGGAAATATATGAAATCACACTGTTAACACACTTGTAACTACTTTGGAAGCCTATTTTCTAATTGTATAGTGAATACTTTTCTGCAGTGTTTACTTTATAGCTGTGCTATTGTTAGTGAACAAAAAATTGGCATGTTATGCTGGAGTAAAGCAGTAAGGTGGCTTTATGCACAGTAAGTATGGAGGCTTCTATTTGCTAATCATTATAAAAGCAATGCTTTAAAACTTAGTGTTTGCTAATAGAAGACCTAAAATAGTTTACTACAAATTCATACCACCCCTTTAATATAAAAGGGGTAAATAACCCCTTTATTAACAAAATCAAGTGCCAAATCACTACAGGGCCCAAAAACACCTGAAAAAAATATTACCAATTGCTTACCTTTTTCTAGACTTTGCAAGACTAATCATTTTCAGACAAAACAATGTGCAAAACTTCCCAACTACACATGTTAGGAGTAATAAGTGCTACCAAGAGATTCTGTTGAAATCAAATCAAAAAAATGTGAAGCAGCAAAGTCAAGCCTCATATCTTGGGCAGTCACAGTGAAGATATTCCCTGCATGAAGCATTTTCTTTCCCTGTACAAGCTGAGATAACTAACCTTTGCCCTTCACCTTGGAGATGCTAGGTAAAGATACACTGACATTAGAAAAGCATGGTTTCATTGCTGTTTAAAAATATCCCCAGACCCATCATTTTGCTAGACAGTCAGATAAATACTTTTTTTGTCAGCCTTCTTTGGCCACATGTACCATCATCCTGCTAATTGCGAACACTTTGTTCAGAAAGTTTCCTGTGAAATCTGCTTCAGATAAATGAGTTAACCTTGCAAAATCTAGCTTTCCACAACACATAAATTTGTCAACCCTGCCTTATGCAGTCCCATATTTACAAAATACTTAGAAATTTTACATCAGTCTTCTACCTTATCAAAAGTGCAATTCTCTCACCCCATGTTATGGGGCAACAACATTCTTCATAAATTCTACAGAATAGCAGCCTATTATAAGCAAATAAGGTGCTTAGCTTATGCTTGGGATCTAACTGGTTAAGTAACACCAGAAAGTACATTTTTTATGGACAGAGACTGCTCTTCCTATCTACTGTCGCAGGGGTGCCACAGCTAAGTTTGCCAGCTCAATGAGTGCCAGCGCACCATGCATGCGTTCACGCTGCTCCTGGAGGCGGTGGTGGCGGGCAGCTGAGTGAGCACTGTTTTTATCTTCATCATCCTCTTCGTCAGACTGGAGATACTCCATTGGGTCCTGTTGTTCCTGATCCGTTTTCTGGATTGCTTTGGTCTTCAAAGCAGGAGCACGTTGCTCTCTAGTCTCCCAGTATCTATAATATCAAATATGAGGAATGCTTGTAACAATACACACAACTGACTCACACGCCACAATTTAAAACGGACAAAAACCTCCCAAGTACCAGCTTGCATCCAGCTAGCTGGGCACTGCACTTGGCTTTATCTTTCAGCCCTTATATGGTAATATTTAAGCAGTCAGAAACCTTCTTTACTCAGTATTTTAAGTATAAAGTGCCGAAGTGAACATCTGTGATTTCTTGTCTCCATGGTGTTTTCAGTAGGCATTTCTCCTTATACATACAGAGCACATCATACAAATGCAAATTTAGCAAAACTGTAGCACTAGCTAATTAAGTATTAGCAGGTGTTTACCAAGCAAAAAAAAATTATACAAGAAGTGAGCAAACACACCACAAAACTAAACTGTAATAAAAAAGTTTCATAGGGAACTTTGTCTTGACCAGGAGTACATAATTCTTCAAAGAGGGGTAAGGCCACGCTGATGTTTACCAAAAGAACATTTAGTTTCGGTTTCTTGGGGTTTTACTGTCCTGGAGAATAAATGCTGTGTCAGACAACCCTTTTAAGTATTTAGAGAAAGATGACACCATGAGAAAACTTACTTTGCTAGCCACTCAGCCACAGCTTTATTGTCAGCCGTCTGCTTCTTACTCAGCCTGTCAGTGAGCTCTTCCCTCTTCAGTCGGGCGTAAGGATGCTTGGGACAATGACGGTTTGCATGTGTGAATCTGCTTAAACAGCCTTAAAAACCAGAGTAACAATGAAAAGTTGTTACAGAAAGCAGCCAGCCAAAGAAAGTGTAACATATGTGAGATGGAAATGCCACTGAAACCAACCTTCCCCATTCCCAAATCCTAGGTCTGGCTGACCTAGAGGTTCTAGTTGCAAGGTTAGTAACATGCCCCATTATTTTATACACTAGTATCCACTGATAGAGAATGTATGCAATACTTAGATACATACTTGCAGAATTAGGCAGCTTCTGCAGGGCTCTTCCCTTCCCTTAAAGTTCCACCAAAACTTAACTCCAAAGCTTTTGCGATGTGAACATGCATATATTTCCAATATTAGTCTGACCCCAGAAAGCTGCAAATTGTTCTCTGATGACTCACCATTCTCTGAGCAGACAAAAGGCTTCTCTCCTGTGTGGAGACGCTGGTGAGTCTTGAGCTGCCCACTCTGTACGAAGGCTTTCCCACAGTCTGGGTAGTCACATAAATAAGGCCTTTCACCTTGAAAGTAGTAACACAAGAGATTTATGAAAGATGACTAGAAGTATTATAGTAACCAGTGGTGGTCCCTGGCTTGAGACTTGCACAAACCCTCCTTTTACCTACTCAGAAACTTACATCTACATAAAAAATCCTAGTGTGCTTTGAAGTACATGCTCTATGCTATATTTCCAAAGACAAAAAAAATTGTGCTTTTCCTTGGCATATTTTCTGATTCAAGACTCTCAGACAGCACTACATAAATTTAGTGAAACTGTGCATATGTAGAGCAGGAAATATATAAAGTAAATGGACAAGTAATGTAATTCAGATGTTGTAACCAGAAAAATTTTATCCTTACTATAGCCTCAACTAGGGTAAAATATCTGAGGTCAACATTACTACAAGGTCCTAGGAATATCTCATTAGGAGAAATAACTCATGTTTAAGAAAATTTATAAAGACGGAGATTGCATGAGAAACTTATTCCAGATTTAAGTTTTCTTAAGACAGTCATCAAGGAAGATTTCTCCATGCATACTGCAACCAGAAGAGCAAGGGTAGCAGGTGTCTCCTTCCTCAAGCGTATCTGACGGCAAACACTACACAAAGGCATGCCATACTACCACCCTCAGGAAGGCAACAAAATGAGGATAAGTCTGGCTCACTAATTCGGAGGAATGACAGGATAAGCTCTTCTCAGTTAAGTAGTTCTCACAAGTTCAACTTCAATTTCAAGTGAAGTAACACCTTTTGACCAAAAAACATTAAGAATGCTGTTGTTTAATATCATTATCTAAATTAGTCACAGTGACTTGAGTCAGAAAGAGATGGTGAGAGCCAAGGCTTTCATGGGATTTTGGATGGTTAGTTTGGAGGGAAGTGTTGGTGGTTGTGTCTGTATTGTGAGCTACATTTGTTCATATTTTATGGCAAATACATAGTTGTGTTACAGAAATAAAATGTATTTGCTTTGTTTAAAAAGAAACAAACAGCATCTTCAGTTCAAGTTCAGCTGGATATTGAGTGAGTTCATCATATATTTTAACTTAACTGCAAATTACTTTCTAAACACAGTTCAGTAAATTAGCATGATCTTCTCCATCCTAAAAAATTGATTTTAGGAGGAGGGAATAAACATCTGGGTGGTGATTTTAAGCATGTGGACTCTTCTTTCAATATTTAAGCACTTCCTAGGATGTTACAATCCTGAAGTTGCCAGACGCTTTTTGAGTTACTGTAACCTCTTACAGCAAAACTTCAATTGTGATGTGAAAAATACATCAACAAGGAGGAAACAAATCACAGAGAAGAGGCAATTAGGATACAAAGTGCTACCAAGCTCAAGTACAGAGCACCAAGCGCAAGACTAGTGCTCCCACTTAAAAAGTGACATTGACAGATAAAGTATTTACACAATTTGCCTATACTATTATAGCCCAGATTGCTGCTACACTTCCCCATAACAAACAGGGTTACAAGGACTTTGATTAACAAGCACTGCCAGAATAGGATGATTAATTTAGCAGTTACAATAAAATCATAACAGGTGAAGTTCTTTGGGGTTCCTTCATGTTTGTTTGGGAGGTTTCAATTCCTTTGCTCATGCTTCTGAAGGGGCTCTCCCCAGCTATTCAACCCTTCCTTTTACTCACCAGTGTGAGTTCGTTTATGGGCTTGCAGCGACTTCTCTCGTGGAAAGACCCTGTTGCAAATATTGCAGCGTATCCTGCTGGAAGAGTGCTCTCCTTCACTGATCAGGTCTCGGACGGTGTCTGCTCTTGGACGGCCACGTCTTATTCCATCCTGGGTGTAAATAACGAGGCAACTAAACTCAGGCATTTCCTCCCCCTGCAATTTGGCCAACAGGCACATCATCTTCTGGAGTGACAGCACGACCAAGGATGGTGCTGAGGCAGAACAGAGCCACACCAGACCGCCCAGCCCATTCCTAACTCACTCCTAATGGCTGCGAGTGCAGGAGGGGAGATAACAGGCACCACCATGTGCTCAGGAGTATGGGGAGAAACTGACAACAGGACCACAGAATGGGTCAGGCTGAAAGGGACCACAGCTGGTCATCTACTCCAACCTCCCTTCTCAAACAGAGCCATTCTAGAGCACATGGCACAAGATTGTGTCCAGGCAGTTAAGTATCTCCAGTGTGGGAGACTCCAAAACCACTCTGGCCAACCTGTGCCAGTGCTCAGTCACCAACATGATAAAGAAATCCCTCCTTATATCGAGGTGAAATTTCCTGTGCATCAGTTTCTGCCTATTGTCTTTTTTATCTACAGCTTGTCACAAGCAAGCAGATCCTGGCTCCATCCTCTTGGCATCTTTATTAGATATTTATATCCACTAATAAGGTCCTCTCTCAGTCGTCTCTTTTCGAGGCTGAACAGCTCCCTCAGCCTTTCCTCATAATAAAAACACTCCAGTCTCTAAATCCTCTTTGTTGTCCTACACTGGACCCACTCCAGGAGGTCCATGTCTCTCTTATACTGAGGAGCCCGGAACGGGACGAAGCACTCCAGATGCGAGGAGAGAGAGGACAAGGAGGTTTGGGTTGTTTTTTTTTTCGATGGTGAGGGGGCTTTTTCAGGTTTATTTTTTCACTTTTGAAAGGAGGGAGCACGGGCAGCCGGCCGCTCCATCCCCTGCTCTTGCTCGCGGCGCGCGCGCCGCTGCCGGAAGTGACTTCACTTTAAATGTCCGGGCGGAAGCGCGGGAGGGGCGCGCGCCGCGGAGTCACCCTGTAAGC